CGTTCTTTGCGGCACCCGCTCGAGTCCACCGGTCGACGCAACAGGCAGTGCGTATCGCCGCACCCACGTCTCTAACCTGACCTAACCTGCTGCCCGCCACACCCGTCTGTCTGTTCTTCCGAAGAGTGCTAGACGTGCAGGATGCGATAGAGAGCCAGGAACAGCGTCCGCGAGCAAGGAGGACCAGGTCTCATGTCTAGCGCATCTGTGTTTTATTCTGACAAGCGAACGACGTTCGCCCTCGTCCACTCTATCTACATCAATATCGGTGCGACTGTATTCTTACATTGTGACCTTCTTCTCGTACCACTCCCAGCTTCAATACCGATAACAGGGCTTCACTTCACCTTGGGCCTGTGCGCCGCGCCCTGCTCGGCGGGGTCATTGAACACGCTGATATCCCAATGCGGTGAGTAACAGAACGGCATATTGTACCGCGTCGGGTTCTTCTTGCCCAACGCAGTCAACGCCTCATAGTCACTCTGCGGCAGCGTGATCTGCTGAAAGTTCGAAATGATGCGGTCTGCCGCGAGGACCTGTCAGCCACACAGCGCGCGCAGACAGAAAAAAGGACCAGCCACCTTTGTGCACAGACTTGGGGATGACCGAGTACCCGCGGTGGGTGCCCCACGCGATGAGCACCTGCGCCGGCGTCGCGTTCAGCTTTTTAGCGATCTCCCGCACCTCGGGGTACTCCGTCAGCCTCGGCTTGCCAAACACTGCAAATACGACGTCAGCTGGGTGTCATCACCGCTGTAAGCACGGTGCGCAGCGTACTGTTGTTCCCGAGCGGGCTGTACGCGGTGATGTGGATATTGTGCTTCCTGCAAAACTCGACGAGCTCGTCCTGCTGGAGGAGCGGGTGCGCCTCGACCTGGTTCACGGTCTGCACCCCCTTTAGCATAAGCGGTCGACTTCCTCGTTGAAACGCAGAACGCACCGGCCACACGCCCGTAGCCTCAACGATGCCCTCGATGTGCTCGATGCTAAAGTTCGACACACCAACGGCCTTGACCTTCCCCGTCTTGAGCAGCCCCACCATCGCCGCCCACGTCTCCGTCAGCGGCGTCTCCAGATCGAGGTCGACCCAGCCATCCGCCTTCTGCGGAAAGAGCCCCTTGCCCGGCTTGAACGCCACCGGCCAATGAACCACTACCACCGACACCATCATCAATCAATCACCACATACAGACCGCGTGCCACTCACGGTAGAGGTCGAGATAGTCGAGCCCGAGCTGCGCGAGCGTCTCGTCGAGCTCCTTCTCGACGAGCTCGCGCTTGTGCGAGGTGTTCCACAGCTTGGAGGTGATGAAGAGGTCGGAGCGCGCGCATACCGATGGGATGACCTTCTTGAGCGCGCGTCCGACTTCGTCTTGGTTCTCGTAGATCATCGCGAGGTCGAGGTGGCGATAGCCCCCGCGCACGGCGATCTCAACCTGCGCACCGCACGCAACGTTCGCGTCCGTCATTGTTGTTCAATACAATCCTAGGTGGGATTATGACTCACGGCATTCTCGACTTCGTTCGGCTGCGAGAGCCACGTTCCCAACCCGATCTGAGGAATCTTCTGCCCTGAGGAGAGCGCGATGGCGTTTCCGAAAGACATAACTGCACTTTTCCTGCCCGAAAGACTCAAAGACAAAAGAGCGAACGATATGACGATGCAGAGGTTAAGGGATGAAGCTAAGATGAGGCGTCGACCGACTGGACCCCGTCGCAGGCATTTTATAATCCGGCGAGCCCCTCCTATGTCATCGCATCGCCCGCGCTCGATGATCGACCATCACGGCGCGGGTGCCGGCCCGTCGGCCCGCCAGGCTTTTCGGTTTGGCGCTTAGCGTCGGCGAAGCAATGCAATGTCTGTCACAGCCCTTGCGCTTGCGAGCACCTCTCCGGATGAGCATGTCCGTTCAGGGTGATCGCGTGATGTGTCGATGTTGACCTCCTTGATCACAGGATTACAGAGACAATGGCCATATCGAAATCAGGAGAGGCAACGCTGGGGTATGACCGGAGCTCCCTGGAATTTCCCATTCGCAGCGAATGCGAGGGACTGTAAGTTCCATGGACAGAATCGTGGCGAATTCCCCGGGCTGAGGTTGTACATGCCAGAGGACTTGTAGTGAAAGCTTGCGCACAGCTGGATTGTTTACAGCTTGGAACGCTAGTGTTGGATATTGCCCAGAGGATAAGACACCACCGTCGGGTACTTGTAGGATGTCTTTGTGTATCTATTCTTCCCATGCCATGACAAAACAAAAGCTTCAACGTTGAGCAACAGATTGACTTCGCCACTGGTGGTTGTCCTTGCGTCTCAGCGTTTGAGGGCCTTCTCGAACCGTTCCTGGCTCAGTGATCTGTCGGTCCAGTATGTCGTATGGTGTGCGACATGACCATCTGTCCAAGTCCCAGGCTTGCAGAGAGGAACAGCCATATGAAGAGCGCAAAAGCAAAGAGTAGTTCAAGTCTGAACCGAGTGTCGGGTATTTTGAATCAGCAGCAATTGCGATGGGCTGTCTGATGAGACGGGCGACTTACTGCCGTGATTATCGCTTATAGCGAATGCTGTGGTCGGACTCTCTCTGACTGTATTGTCCCGATGACATAGCTATTATCCTGAAAAATTATGCACATGAATTTCACGCAGCTTATGGTGCGGCTGGCCCGGTTCAGACGTTCTCCTTGACGAGGACATGGACATTGATCTCCACAGAACGTCTTTATAATATCTGTTTCTACGCCATCTGATGTCCTTGAGTGATTGATAACGGATTCATGTCGCGACTGGTCATACTGCCATTCCAACGATTGCTAAAATCCCTGGACTGGCCATGTTCGTCGTAAGAGGAGACTGTACAATGTTGCGACTTCAAGAGACACCTCAACCACAGAATTGCCGAGGAACTAGCCATGCGGAAATCAGTAAAGATATGGGCTGGACCTGCTTCGCATCCTTGTCTCCAGCGTTAACGGCGATTGTGAGGCAAATATTGTTCTAAAAGATGGGACACACTTGCTACGGCTCCTATGGCTCCTCTCTCGGCAAGAGCTATACGTAGACACAACGGCCTGCAACGCGGACGGCCCGCATTGGGCATTGTCTATACGACACGCAGCAGCAGTGGGAAACCGCAGAGCATTTGGGCATAGTCGTATGCCATCATATCATCTTTGACAGGTGACAGCAAGTCGCCAGTGATCGCCTCTGCATTGCAAAAATTGAGGGGAGGAAAAAGTGAACAGGTCCTGATCGTGGTGGCCAATCACGCTGTAGAATCGATACCAAAACGTGTTGTTGCCACTAATACCGCCGACGCACGAGCGAGCGAGCGCGCAGTGACCGAAGAGGCAGCCGGATCATGGTATATCGAGTTTCTTTCCCCGGTCAGGGGCACCCTAAGTTCCCGATGCCCCATCCATGATCTACGACAGGATTTTCAGATCTGCAGCAAAGTCCTCGAAAAGGTGAGAACTTAAGACCAGCGATCCGAGTCCACGCAGAGATCAATCGACGCAGCAAGCACTCGAATGAAACACATAGAATGTGCATTCCGTCGTCGAGGCATGATCGGCAAGTGCGCTAATTGGAGGTTCGAATTTGGGTTGGCCCGCAGGACAGCTTGGAGGTGAGGACATCCGAGAATTGGAACCCACTGCGAGCCTCCGACTCGTGGCCCGTAGACTACGGACTATGAGTCAGACAGTCACAGCGTCATTCATGTCACATCACCTGCGGCTCACGTCAGTCACGACCGTAACGAGAGTGTAACGGAGCGTGCGTCGAACTCTGGCGGGCGCACTGATGATCGATGACCATTGGGTCTTTGACTGGCGGCGGTGAGACGGCAGAGGGACGTCACTGGGACCGCGGCATGAAAGTGCCAGTCTTGTCTTGAATGCAATGTCACGCTGTGGCTGGCTGTTGCAGTCAGTCACGTGATTTGATTCGGCAGGTCACCTGTGATCACCTCTGACGTGTGTGCATCTATACAGCACACGCAATGCTCATCTCATAACGATATCTGAAGATGCCATGGCAGTTGCCTCTAAGCTCTTTGCATGAAGCAAGAGGGAGCAGACCCGATGATATTTTCCCGATTAGATCCGGTCGAAGCGATTCGGAGATGAAAACGCTTACGTAACTCCAAAAGCGTGTCTAGGGGTAGGCAATTTCGGAACTAATAACACGACGTAAGCAGATCAGTTGCCCGAAGGAATGTCGGCAAGCAAGTCCATGGGGTCAGTATTAAACATTGGCGACGAACATTCTTTCCACATAACACCGGAGTTGTGTCTGGCAGGTTGTCGCCTTTGCCAAATCACTTGTCGATTATGCCGACGTCCATACCGCTGGCGCAAGGATTGGTGAGTTTTCCTTTCATTGAACGACGGTGGCTGCAGAGGTAGACGCGGCGCGATGCGTCATACAAAATCTGGTGATATCCGAGCATTGGAATCTGCGAGCCTCTGACATTCGATTTAAAGTTAACAATCGCAAAGCCAGTCTTACATACATCAGCACGTCACCCGTCACCCGTTTTCACCTTTATGGCTGAATAAATGCCCCGTTTTTCGCGCTTGTGGCTGCTTTGCGCGTTTGTGGCTGGGCATCTGCGCATCAGTACTCAGTCCCCGCCCTCCTTCGACCCCTTTTCCTCTGAGGTTTGTACGCTGTCCTCGTCCGGCTGTCTTTTTCGTCGTCCATCCGCTTTGTGGCAATCGTTCGTGTTCCTCTGTCTGTTTCGGTCGCGATCGCAACCTTCATGTATTTTGGTCTCTTCAGGCTGTCCGTCGCTTGGCGGACTGTCCAGCCCACGTCTCGCTGTCTGTCACTGCTCGCTTCACGTCGTCCATCGCTTGGCTGTTTGCCCAGCCCGCCGCTTGCTGTCTGTGCGGAATGCCGTCGTCTCGCCCGCATGTCTATCGGTTTTGGTTGTGTCCCCCGTCTGTCCAAGGGGGGTGCTGGCCGACGATCTGATGTATTTGCTGCATGTGAACTACCAATGATCTCCCATGATTTTGCCGATGATACTCGCTTATTATACGACGGAACTGTTTTTTCCGAACATGCTGCCTCTCTGGCACCTACATGCAATCGGTGGCGTTGTCAACTTCCCGTTTCGCTTCTCGCCGCTCCTCTGCCTACCGTTTATTGTTGCTTTTGCTGCGTTAGCACGGCATGAGTCTTAGGCATGTCGATCGTATGCTGGATGCTGTCATGCGCGCGCTTCTGCGGCATACATGTGATGATTCCTGTCCCCCCTATGGCGTGTGAGTTTGCCGTCTCTCGTTTCGACGAAGTTGTTCAACGTCTTTCACGAAAACTCATGAGTTCGCGCGAAACGTGGCATTCCTTTTCCGTGTGAGCTTTACCACCTCGTTTGTTCATTAAAGTGGTCTGTTCCGTCGCAAACCTCGTTTGCTTCGGATGAGTTTGCTGTAGATGCCCCGCTGTCGGCTCTAAAAGTTGTTTTGCCGATGAATCGTCGCCGTTTATCGCGTGCATTCCGATTGTACTTACGTTGGACTCGAATGTATTGAGATGAAATATCGGAACTCGTGCAATAACTGTATTTTACGGGAGTTCTTCCGGGTCGTTCGGACCTGGGCGTGCGGATGCAGTGCCGGCTCCCTCAAGTCCGAGAATTGTAATCTACGAGCCTCCGACCCGTAGAATACGGACTACTGACAACTGTCAGGCAGTCACAACATCACGCATGTCACATCACCTGTGGCTCACATCAGTCACGACCATAACGAGGGTGTAACGGAGCGTGCGTCGAACCCTGACTTGCACACTGATGATCGATGATCATTGGGTCTTTGACTGGTGACGGTGAGTGTACAGCAGAAAGGGGCATGAGAGGGTGGGGGGACCGCGGCATAAAGTGCCAGTCATGCAATGTCACGCTGGGGCTGTCAGTCACTCATCATCTGTCACGTGCTTCAATGTGTGATCGCCACTGTGTGACATTGCATTCTTACAGCACACACAATGCTCATATCATAGCTAAAGAGTATCTGAAGATGCCATGGCAGCTGCCCCTAAGCTCTTTGCATGAAGCAAGAGGGTAGAGCCTGACGATATTTTCCCGATTAGATGCGATTCGGAGATGAAAACGCTTACGTAATTTCGAAAGCGTGTCCCCAAATCGAATGTCGGCAAGCAACTTCATGGTGTCAGTAATATTGGCGACGAACATTATTTCCACATAACACCGGAGTGGTGTTTGGCAGGTTGTTGCCTTTGCCATATTACTTGTCATTTATGCCGACGTTCGTACCGCCGGTGCAAGGATTGGTGAGTTTCCTTTCATTGTCCTGCCCGGCTGCTCTGTCGGTTACTGGTGACAATGCGACCCTAGAGCCCCGGAAAGCCCCCAGTGACGTCTGTCAGCAGTCGCGTAAAATGCTCCTTTACCCCTGTTCCGACCTGCCGCTTAGAAACTGTATTGGTTGCCCGAACTGTGCTTCACAGTGCATCCAATGATTAGGGTTTGATGCCCCACAAAATTTTCTCACTAGTTAAGCATCTTTCCCGTTACAGCGGCATAGTTTTCCGTAACAGTCGTGGCTTGTGCTCTATATAATACTCGCTGATTGCAATTGGCCCACTTCAGCGCCCTCTTCTTGATTCACGGGCGACGCGCGACGTCCCACTCTCTTGACTTTCGCATCCTGTCGGACGCTGCTCCCTCTGTCTTATACTCGATAATTTCCTCTAGCGCACTATCGGTTACGGGCAGGTGTCGATCACCCAATGCCGCGTGATCAAATTGCTACGTTGCAGATCCCTCGATCGTCACTCCCTAGAGAGCTGTTCGATGAGCTGAAGGTATCCATTCGAGGCCCTGTCTTCAAACCATCTGATGCAGAGTGAGTCCCCGGCGACATCATCCTGCGCACTTACTGGGCAAGGTCACTAAATGGTTTGGAAAACCCCGACATCAGATTCACTGAACGCTCCAAGGGGTTCAACGGGAAATTGGTCTGCCAGTCGAAACTACTCGCGTGTCCGCTGGACGTGCAGGACGTCAGCGCTATTGTCAAGTTTTGCTCAAAGCACGGCCTTTCTCCGTCCGTCAAAGCTGGTGGATATGGCATCGCAGGATGGGCGGTAGCAGGCGATGTCATAATTGACCTGGCTATGCTCAGAGAATGCGACATTGAACCTCCTTTGCCTGACGCAGAAGAAGGCAACGACTGGATCAGGATGCGCGACATGTCGCCCCCAGGAAGTAAGGGCAAAGGTCGTGCAACGAGCTCGAATGAGTATGTAGGAACGTTGAATGCGGAGAGTTCAGCTCCTACCACGGCTCGTCAAAGTAATCCAGAGATCACTGGAATGAAGCGGCGCCGCGAGGATAGTCCGGAGCCAGTAGAAGAAGATTTGCCCAAGTTGAAAGCCACTCAGGAGAAGCGCAACCTCCTGCGCTCGTACGACGGTGCATCAAAGGCCGTCGCAACGTTTCTCAACGGCGCGCCTCTTCCACCTGAAGAGGGCGAGGAACCCCGACAGCCGCCTGCTAATCGACGGCGCGTGTACTCCCCCGAGCCCTCTACTTCGCAGCAACATCACGCTTCCGTTCAGCAGGCGGAGTCTACGCAGCAGCCTGAGCAGCGAGAGTCAGATGACCTCCAACCGGACGGTGAGGTTGTTCCTCTTGGCGCCGAGATCGTTCCATCTGACACTAGATCGCAGTGTGTGGTGTCCGCACGCAGCCAGAGACAGCCGATCCTTTCGAATACATGTTGCCTAACGGTTCGTCTCAACCACCTCCGCTGACGCTCACTAGCACAAACCCCTTCGGAGCAACGCCAGCTTCACTGTTCGCTCTGCGAACATTCTCAAACATGGGGACCTGGACGCCTCCACCATCCTCTTCCATGGGCGCTCAAGGTGCATGGGGCGCAGGCGCCGGACCTAGCATGCTGTCGCCATTCGTTGCTCCTGGGCCTTACTCGGCACGCATGGATATGAGCTCGTTCGTGATGTCGTCCGAGATGTTGCCGCCGCACGGCCAGCTGGTGGGTATGGCTCCCGCACAACCGGTCCATAAGCATGCCTACGTTACATTGGGTGCGGGCATGCGCCAGAAGGAGGTGGACATGTATACCGCAGAACATCCCCTCGAGGGGTTCAGTGCGGTAACGGGCCTGCGAGAAAATGGCGTAGTGCCGTATCACATGCCATCGTACGTGTCTGAGCATAAACGGCTTTAGTGGTTGGACTCAAGTTATATGACAGGTCGGCCCACCCGGTGGGATCCTCGATCCTGCTTCTTGGAGGATTTGGATTCATAAGCAGGATGTACGGTCTGAGCATTGATAATGTGGTGGAGATAGAGATGGTGCTAGCGGACGGGAGGATCGTCATTGTCAACAAAGACGACGAACCGGGTGAGTGTTCGTGCTCGCTTAGTGAATGCAAATCGTACTCATGAAGACAAAATCGCTCAGAACTCTGGTGGGCGATTCGTGGAGCAGGCCCTGCCTTCGGCATTGCAACGCGATACAAAGTGCGCGCCTTCCCAGTGCCCGTTGTCTTTGCTGGCAACTTGATCTAGTAAGTCTATTAACTACAATGTTATCATCCGCATACAGTGTATGACGTATCTCGCCTCTTGCACAGCCGTTTCCATCGATCAACAGCAGCATCTCTCATCAAACATTTCCGTGACTGTATCAAAGGAGCACCGCGCGAGCTCTACGTAAATGTGCTTCTCACAGCAGGCCCCGCTGATAAGGACTCGCTTCTCGTTATCCAAATGTGCTATGCTGGGCCGAAGGAGCAGGGCATGGAGTATCTCAACGCGATTTCCAGCTGGGATGGCGAGCGCTGTATCCTTAATGAAGTGAACGAAAAGAGCTATCTCAGCCAGCAGGACAGCGTCGCTCAGATCTTGAGAGGAAAAGGTTCGCTGTATTCCTTATTAGCTTGAATGCTTTCTGTTGACAAATCTTCGCCTTAGCGGGAAGGCAGTGGTTCATGCGCTCAGCGCTCATACACTCCCTGCCAGACGAGGTCATCAACAAGACCGTCATACAGTTCGCTAACACTCCGATTGGCTGTAGTAAGTGCCATGCCATACCACTCTTGCATGACTCGCCGCAGCCATGCCGCCGCATCGCATGAAACTGATCGCGTTCTAGCGTGGCTTTTCGAACTGTCTGGAGGAGCGATCGCAGATTTTGAAGACACGTGCCTGCCGAAGGAACAACGGGAAGCGACGTGGACGGTTGCTGCACTGCACCAGTGGGAGATGGGTATCGACGACCCACGCTGCATAGCTTCTGCGGAAGAGGTATGGTGGCTTTTTTCACGCGGTGGTATGGACGGAAATTAACAGCATGACTTCTAGTGGATGGATGGCACCATAAGAAGTGTTGCGTTAGGTGGACCATACCCTTCTGTGAGTGAGAACCCCAAACGGTCTGCAGTTAGTTGGTTGACCGGGGTCATGGGCAGTTCTTGGCAAGACACGAGCCTCCGTCTCGCACTCAGACATGCTACGGCAAGAACTGGGCTCGCCTGGCGGAACTCAAACGCAAGTATGACCCCAACTGTCTCTTCAAAAACAATTTGTGGCCTGTCGACAAGGACGGCAATCCCATCGAACTGTTGAGCAACGAGCCGCCATCTCCATGACCAGCAGTGCCAGCATAGTCGTGTTCAATATGTTCGGATTAATCTAGACTTCATAACTACCGAGTAGATCAGAACAGATGATATATACATATAATTGTCACCTATGCTTATAATTTGATGAGCAGGGTTCTTATATAGAGCATCGCTCAGCTAACGATAGTCAGATGGAGAGCGGCCGCGGCGCTTAAATTCACATCGCACCAAAGGCCACTCATGGTGCAATGGCACCACGTGGCTCACCAGATCGTTATCCCTCTAAACTGATATTATACTTCTCCTCTGCGTCATCTCGTTCAGCTATAGTCCTGCATCATGTTCGTGCCTAATAGTGCTTTTCGTGAAGGAAACAATGAGGTCGATGGCGATGCGTATATCAAGCCCGAGAAGTCATGGTGTGCTGCGGTGAGATTCCTGGGAGGACGATTAGTGGTATATCTGCATCTCGTCGAGCTAGGCAGCCCAGGTTATTTTTGTAAGGACGGCACCATATTGCTCCCTATCTGCCTATGCTATCAAGGGAGATCGTCGTCGCCCTAGTCATGCAACAGAGATAAGCAAGCGTTGGCGAACCACGGTGTTCTTTCTCTCATTACCACCAGCCACGTACGATGTCACCGGTGTCGAGCTTTCGAGTTCTCGTTATGAGGTGCGTTCCAGCTGCGTCCAGCCAATCAGTGACTAACAGCGCCTGCAGATTGGTATGAATAACGGACGGCTGCTGGCCACGCATATCGTTCGCCAGATATCCATTTACCGCGATATGTTTCTGGAGTCATGCAAGTTTGATTTGTCACAGGTCCTTGAAGATGTGCGGGTCAGCTGATATCGGGCTGCTCGACGTCGTCGCACTGAATGCCCGCAGCAAGGTTGCTTTAGGGCAATGAGACGACGGATGCACGGTCCTTGCGTGGCGGCTTGGAAGGCCGGAGAAGCAGCTGTTAGCCCAGAATTGGGACTGACAATAGAGAGAACCTCGCGTTGGTGTCAATAGAAAGGATGGGGAAGCCGAAGATCTGGATGGCGGCTGAGGTGCGCACAATGCGAGCATCTGGCCGCCTGTGAATTGGACTGACGTACATGCAGCGTGGAATAGTCGGGAAAGTCGGGAAAATCGGTTTCAAATTGTTCTCCTCGCATGTGTGCCTGAACGCTATCCGTGGCGCCCAATCTCCACCGAAGCTCTTTCCATTCATCTCCCTTGCATCTTACATTTGGGCACGAATCGATTGGCGCCGCGGTATCTGCCGTCGAGCAGCTCAGAGGGCCACCCAGCGTCGACCCAGCACATTCTCGTCGCAGACGCGCATGGTGCACAGGGGCTCGGAATCTCTTCTCTCATGGAGTATTCCAAGGAGAACGAGAACGGACTGACTGTGCGTGCGAATCAGTTCCTCAAGAACAGGCCCGTCGGCGAGCCACCTTGGCTGTCCGGCGCGCCTATGCGGCTTCGTCGAGGGCGCGCGCTGTGTGAAGACATCCAGAAGAACGTTAGCACCGAGCGACTGAGGCAGGAGGTAAACGCGAGCCTGCTCCGGTGCCGCGTTTTCTCGGACACACTCAACTCTCCGTAAGCTATATGCTGCTCACCTAACCTTATGCGTGGAGGACCCGCGCGCATTCAAACTCTGTGCAACAGTGTCATATCCTTTCAGGACGGCGAGGAGCCCTCTGCGGAGGTTGACATTCGGAAAGCCGGGAGTGAAGAAGAGAGCAGTGTGCACAACATGCCTTGTTAGCATGTTTCGTTTAATATATAGTGCACGTCGTCGTCATTCCTACTGGAAGGTCGCGCTGAGCTATCGCATTCTCGCTAGTTTCTGAATGCATGTACATATTCTCTCGATATGCGCTGCCCATGTTCTGCGCTGCGAGCGTTATTTGCACCAATTTTGATGATAGGCTAAACTATCGGATGAGTGGCGGATAAGTCCCGATAAGTCCCTCTCCTCCTCATTCTCCTGTCTCCACGGCCGTCTGCGCTGCATTGCACTTCGCAGGCTCGACACAGTCCTCAAGGCTTTAACCTGCAGTCTGATTACCTTTGATCCCACCTTTTAGCGCACCACGTTAGTCGACGACCACCTACCGTATCTGCACGCGAGATTCGCACTGCTTCCAGGCGCATGCCCTGCACGTGTGTCTGGCCAATTTCAAGCGGTGACTGAACGGAACAAGGGAGACTTCGATACTTCTCTGCAGTGCGTCTCGGGTACTCCTTGCTCTTCTCGACGCCGGCACCAGTACTCTGTTCACATTACATAGCAGAACAATCCTGACCAACGCGGAACACCAAACTGAAGCTGTGGCAGATACGTACACCGCGGTTCCGTGACGGGCCTGAGCGCGGATATCCTCCTTCCACCTCGGATATGGATGCTGGTTCTGAACAGGAGTCTGCTTTGGAGAAGTCACCCGCTAGGGAGCCTCGTTCCCGCCGCGTGGGCATAACAGGTCCACCATCGACATTCCGGCTCTCCGCGAGCATTACAGAGACGTCCGAGAGTGCATCTTGGTCTACCCCTCCCTCGTCTCCCGACCCCGCCTCTCCGCCTCGGCCACCGCCGCGATCTCCCTTTCGCCCGAAAGTGCAGGCGCGCTGCGATTCTGCATCCATCCTCACAATCGACACGGTTGATTCCGCACCAGGCACTGGCGACATGCCTTTGTCGCACTCGCACAGCTTCGCTTCACTCTCTGGCTTGCTCACACCCTCCCAGACGCCCTCCGTGAAGCCTGCACGTATGGGCCGCCCGCCAACTCCCCACAAGCCTCTGCCCATAACCCCAGATCCGTCCATCTCTACATCTGCACATGATGAGGATCAGGAGCCTCAGCGCGAAGACCAGTCCCAGACGGCTTCGTCGCTCCTGTCAACATCAACATCCGTATCAAAACGGACTCATGCGCTACAGGAGCTGCTGTCGTCGGAGCGTGCATATGCATCCGACTTGGCATTGATTCGGGACATCCACATTCCATTGGCCCTAGGTAAGTGACATGGTCTCAACCGCTGTATGTGCTAACAGCTTTTCAGGCCAACCACCTCCGTTCAATGCCGCCCCGCCCACTCCTCCTCCGTCCGGCCCGTCCTCATGCACCGAATCCCTGCGGTCGGACGCTTCATCCATCAGTTCCTGTGGCTCGATCAATGGACCAGCAATGACCCCCGAAGACGCGCGGATCATATTCAACAACGTTGCAGAACTTGCAGCATTCGCGGATACATTCACAGAGAAGATAGAGGAAGCTCTGGGTTCTGTGTTAGAGCTTGGGACAGGGGAGGACCATGTTGGAGCATTGTTCCTTGAGAATGTAAGTGCGTGTCTTTATCGCGTGTCGTACTTCTAACCATGTGTATTAGATACCCATTCTGGAACCCTTGTACCTGCCGTACATTACGAAGCACCCAACTGCGCTGGAGCATCTGAACAGTTTGCCAGAGACTCCGGCGCTGAAGGAGTATCTTGCTCAGTCACACAATCTCGCATCGAATCTCACACATGCATGGGACTTGCCCTCGCTTCTCATCAAACCGGTCCAGCGACTGCTGAAGTATCCCCTACTGCTTAGCGCAATCATCGATGAAACGCCGGAGTCGCATCCCGATATCGCTAAGCTGAAGCTCGCCCGCGAGAAAATGGAGGAAGTTGCCAGGACTGTAAATGAGGAGCGGAGGCGACGGGAGGTTATCAAGGAAGTTTTGAGTGGAGTGCCTTCTGGGCCGCAAATCAAGCGGAACAGTGATCCGAAGCCTAAGCCGAAGAAGAAGGGTCTTAATGTTGGCATATCTGCTTCCGTTAGCCTGGGACGAATGAAGACCCTCAGCCAGAGGTCCTTTAAGGTGAAGGAAGGCAGTGAGGCTGATAAGGAAGCGGAGCAGGTGATGCAGCTAGGCCATGAGGTGAAGCGGCACGAATCCTATGCTCGTAACTTTGCCAAACAAGCTGTCGAGTGGTGTCGTGCGGTGGAAATCCTTATGCAACATCTGCGTGCTTGGTCCACAAGCTTTGGACAAGCTATCGGCGTTACGCAACCAGGGGAATCGGAGGCATACGATGCCTTTATGGGTGTCGTGACGCATGAAATCCCGTCGCTTTGCAAAGACATCATGGAAATCGTCAAGGAGCGGCTTCTAGGCGAATTAGCGAAATTGGTGGATTCAACCCTGGCACCTTTACGTCTGCTCGAAGCTATGCAAACGCTGGAGCCGTTGCATGCAGAGTTATTGAATCTAAAAGTCTCAAAAGCTCGACCGCCTCCACATCTTGTCGAAGCATCGCAGTACTACGTTGCTCTGCGCGCACAATTAGCTGCAGAACTTCCACCATACATCGGGCTGCTGAGCAAAGGCATTACACTGTGCATTTTGCAATTTTCAAACTGGCAAGCCAATTTCTGGGGCAGCGTACGAGATCGTTGGCTGTTGCTTTGGAACGCGCTCAAAGTCGAGGGAGAGATGAATGCTGGTGCTGCTGAGACTCTCAGAGTCTGGTGGATGCGATTTGGCGACGTAGAGGTACATATGCTGGGGTTAAACATCCTGCGACAACCAGAGAAGAAATCGCATGGGCATGACGCGGCGCGGACGAAGTCGGACGGCTCTGCTCAGGCTTTCGAAGATGACCTGAGCGAGAATGGCTCGACTGTAATTGTCATGACCTCGTTTGATCCATTCAACGATACACCGAGCTCGCCCTCTTCTCTCTCCCTCCAGACACCCGTAAGCAACAAAGCTCGTAGCGTGCGATCTGTGGACCTGGGTGCCCTTGGCAGTAGGCGTGGTCTTGAGCGACAGAATTCCGACGGAAGTCAGCGGTCGAAGAAGTCTACCAAATCCTTCAAGTCAGGTAAATCGGGGCATGACGCGAGTCATAGCGCCAATAGCGTCGATCCAAAAGTGATTGCATTTGGTTACACCGCTACATTGACGTCGTTGGGCTCTTCCCCACAGAAGGCGACATATCTGCGACAGAGAATCAAGCCAATACCAGCGCCGCTACCCCTGAAGAAGTCGTATTCTCAGAGTCGGATCATCGATCGCCACGCGAACACCCCTCAAAATGGCAACAATGAGAAGGGAGATTGGCGACCTCCCGACTCGGAAAGAGGCCGTCCTTCACGGAAACCATCCTTCAAACGGCGGCTGACGGAGGCGCTCAAGCCAGATACAGCGTCGCTGTATTCGCGCCAACATCGGTCGCCGTCAATGCCTGCGACAGGGCTTCTGTCACCCATGCCATCACCTATCAAACCCACCTTCACAAAACCTTCTGTTCTTTCACGGCGCGCAAGCAGAGGACCGAGCATCAGCGGCGACCAGCTTGAAGTGTTGTACTCATGTCAGGTTGTTCACCCTTGCGAGCCTCCGCCTGGTGTGTCTTATCAAGATCTCCCGTTCTTCACTCTTCATGTCGGTGACGTATATGACGTGCTCAAGGAGGCAGGTCATCCGTCGATACACCAGGACCTGCCGTTGTATGTTGACGATGGAGAGGATTGTTTATTATTGGTCCGTAACTGTGCACATGACGTTGGATGGGTTCTAGCTAGTTTTCTTGTCCCTGCGGACTAGGTCGGACTTGGATATGGCATGAAGGGTTGAAGCACGATAATATGCTTTGCGATGGTACCGACATAGGGTTTTCTTTTCTTCAAGCAGTCTAATTTGCATACCATGTAGAGGATTTTACATTGCATACTTGATGTCCGTGAGCATGTGCTATGTTGTATCTTCACTCACGCTAAGTTACATTCAGAGTAATGACGATGAGTCTAGAGACACTGAATGCCAGTGTCCTGACGATGGGCTAGCTTGCTGAGCCGTTGCGTAGTCTCATTGAGGACGTTCCTCCGAGTCCCCTCATTTAGCACTTGCCAATAACTCCATCAGCCTGAAGTCTGTTCAGCTGTTCTTCGCTGAGCCCCAACTCCTCTACCAGCACCTCATGGTTGTGCTGGCCGAGCTCAGGTCCCGCCCATCGCGTCTTGCTCTCACATCCCTCGAGGAACGGCACCATCTTCGGCACCTTGACCGTCCACTCCTCGCCCGTCTTAGGGTTGCGCACTGGGAGGTCCTCCAGCATCCCCCGCGCCTGCACCTGCGGGTTCTCCACGAGCTCCTTGATGGAGAGCACGCGCCCTGTCGGTACGCCGACCGCCTGAAGCACCTCTTCCACCTCCTCCGCTGTGCGCTCGCGCGTCCATGCGCTGATGGCGTCTTCAATCACCTGCTGCCGCGCAACGCGGTGCTGGTTGCGGGCGTAGTGGGGCCCGGTGAGGTCCGGCCGTCCGATGGCGCTCATGAGCCGGACGTACATCGAGTTGGCGTTCGCGCCGATGACGATGTAGGAAGGTACGTGCAGGTTGGTTGGAGATGGTTTGCAGGGGAAGACGTTCGTTGAGACGATGCCTGTGATGGAGGAGCCTGAGGACCCGCGGATCTGCAGCGTCCATGCTTAGTTCTGTGTGAAGTAGTACAAGATCACCAGTACGGACCTTTCCCTTGCGATCATATTCTGGGATGACGCCTTCCATTAGGTTGATCATACTGTGTATGTAGGCAGATTTAAAGAAGTAACAGTAAACGAAAACCAAAGGCCGACCTTTCGAGTAAGCTCACGTCGACAGTCTGGCCTCCATGCTGGCCTTTCGCCTCTCTCGCTCGTCTCGAGAACAGCGCCAAGACCTAGTCGCTCACAAACGCATTCTGTCAATTGATGTTGACACACACTGTTTGCAGCTCACCGTCCCGAAAGCAGCATGCAACCCCGCAACCGAGTCCCCTATGCTGAGATTCGGGCGGACAGGCGGGCCGGACATCGCGCCCGTCTCAAGATCGGGGAACCCGTTCACGTACCTAAATCTTGACTCTGCTTCGGTCACCGACGCGTAGCCCGGCCGCGAGGACCAGGGACCCGTTTGGCCGTAGCCGCTGACGCGAGTGAAAATGAGCGAGGGATTGTGCGGGTGGAGGTTTGCTGGCCCCAATATCCATTTTTCGAGCGCTGCAGGGAGATTGTTGTGAGAACCAGACGTTTGTCCGAAAGTCGAAAACGTACTTCCCGGCTTGAAATTCTCGAGTAACACGTCGCTCTTTATGGCTAATTTCCTTACCAACCTACGGGCGGATATATCCACATGCGGGAATGCTCGGTCAGCGCTATGAAGCATACGCACTCTCGTCCTTCTTGCTTCCGTAGATCTATTGTCACACTTTTCTTGTTGCGTCCGATGCTTCTCCACCATGGACTCACCCCGTCCACGTCCAGTTCCCTCCAAACGCGCAAGGGGTCGCCCACACCGGGTGGCTCAACCTTGACGACCTCCGCTCCGAAATGCCTGCCAGTGATGCCGCCATCAACCAAGAATGCACGTAATATAGGTAGCACAAGATGAACCCTAACAGCTGTCCGCAGAATGGTCCTGCAATTACCTGTCCTATCTCCAAGACACGGATGCCGGCGAGTGGCAATTCGTTCGACTTCTGTGACGAAGCAGAATTGACTCTGAGAGTATCATTGAAATTCTGGAGTATCATTTGAGAGTAAGTCTGAATATTTAGCACTCACAGGCGGTGCGCAACTGATACGCAACACGTTCTGGGTATAGCGGCAGCGTGCCGGCTACCGGTTGCCCGTTTCTGATTGACCCAAGCAATCATGTCTATCCAGGCGTGAGCTCAGTAAGTACGATTATTCGAAGCACATGACGCGATTTATAAATGTGGAAAATTGTGTGGGAATGTCAGCTGATGTCTTACATTTGTGGCAAAGCTTTGCCAATTTAGCATTTAAACGGCAAATAGTGCACATTCACAGCCAAAGTGAAACATTTTCAACATGAAATGCCATGGTTGCAAATGTTTGTTGCATGTGTAAGAAATCAGTCGACATTCACACACAATTTCCCACATTGATAAATCGCATCATGTCTGCCATGAAGATATGTAGCAGCACCGTAAAAGCATGACCGAGTCACGAGCCCATGATGCCTTTGGCATCGGGTCCTCCAACATGTTGGACTTGGGTGAAGAGACGTCGGGTGCCGGTTCCAAATAACAAAGAGGCCCGTCGCACTGGGCATGCGCAAATGTCATTCATATTACACTGTCGAATGCTGCCATTATCTCGTCTACTGAACTGGCAAACACTATGGGTCCCTTTGCTCTGACCATACATGAATCACTGCACCGCGAATCACTCATGCAACACAAGACTGACACCAGTTCAGGGGGTTGGATGCGAATGCTATTGAATGCAAGGCTCAAACAACTGCTGTCGAAGAAGAGATGTTGCCAGTCGGGGCTGCCCCAGTGATGACAAGAGGATTGGCCCCCATCGTAGAAGGTGAATTCTCGTCCCTGATATTTCCCCTTTGCAGCGACTCTGAGTTGGGTACCTTTGATGGTGGGAGAGCAAAAGGCAAGGTGTTGCTGAATGTGAGTCGAATATGCAGGGATGATGGTGTCAGCGGTGATCACGTTCATGACGATTGTGGATGTCCACTCACCCCCAGGAGCAATTAGTCCATGTGCAGTTGCAACTGAAACAAGTGATGCAAAATTGAGCCTGTGCACCAGATCTTTCAACGGCATGTCTATAATAATGCATTCCAATTCACTGCGCAGAGCAGGTAAGTCACAATGATGAACACTGGCGAATAAGTACCTAGTTTTTTCTGTGCGTCGAAGCTGTCCGCTTACAACTGGAAATCGATCCAACAGATGCCAGTACATCATACAGATCCCTTCTGAACTCACTTCATGCAAACCATCATGTACAAAGTCGAACACTGCAATGGCAGACACACAAGCCAAACTACATCGATGCCCGAACAATAGACTCCAAACCAATCACCGCACATTTTTGATGGTCTCTTCCTATATGATGCATTTGAGCGAGATCGGTCAAACTGTGCAATGGAAGTACACGAGCAAAGAACAATAAAGGCAGTGGCAGGCACGTCAAGCATGATCGATGAAACGTTCGAGGACCACGTGGAATCAAGGGAACTCACAGGTTGCGTACCTCTGAACATCACTGACAAGTGATGAGACAGCTGTTGAACAATGGCAGCCAAGACCGGCACCATGTCCAATAACTCACGACACCACTTGGGATTTGGGTACAAATGAGCAAGGTAACACTATGTTAACTACCTCCTTTTTAACCATGCCACTTTAGGGCAGGTGGTGCAGCTCACACACCCGGTGCTTATCAGGCTGCCATTCCTGTAGCCCCTGTACCCAGCTCTGATGCCCCTGAGGTCCACTGCTATCCGGCAGTGCCTCCCAGGCCCTAAAAGCCAACATGCCCCCTCGAGCCAGCCATCTAACCAGCCTTGTTTGCAGCTCCTTCTACCCTAACTGGCACTCCCTGGTTCTGCTGCATTTCTATAGCGCCCTGGCTACAGGGCCCAGGCGCTCCTCCCAATGCCTGCCCTGCCATGTCTAGCCCAGCCCACATCACCCTGCGCATTTCGCTGCCAAACCCAGCCCAGTTGCGCCCACTGCCTTGCCTCAGCCCTGGCTAATCGCCCCAGCCTCAGCCCCTCTTGTCCATGTGCCCCGCCCCCCTGATCCAGGTCCGGCACTTCACGTGTGGTCTTGCATCCACATCACCTTCTCGACACGCACAGCCTGAGGTTCCCCCAAAGGATCCTGGGTCCCTCCCACCATGCCCTGTGCTCACAATCACGCCCGGGCTAGGACAGCCCCCTCTCCCCTTCCCACTCTCCAACAGATGCTATGCACCCTATCCCAGTGCCTTGTATCAGTGCCCCCTCAACCTCCGCCTCCTCTCTACACTGCCCACCATGCACCCCTCATGCTTGCACATTGAATGGCCTGGTGCATGGCACCACAGTGTTGGTTGCGTCGAAGAAGGTCAGCCCAGGTTGACTAGATGAGAGCCCAGAGTATAATGGAGAGTCCCAGAGTATCGATGGCTCGTTTGTGTTGAACAACGGCAGCCAAGACCGGTGCCACGTCCAATAACTCGTGACACCACTTGGGATTTGGGTACAAATGAGCAAGGTAACGCTACGTTAACTACCTCCCTTTTAACCATGCCACTTCAGGGCAGGCGGCGCAGCTCGCACACCCGGTGCTTATTCGGCTGCCATTCCTGCAGCCCCTGTACCCAGCTCTGATGCCCCTGAGGTCCACTGCTATCCCACAGTGCCTCCCAGGTCCCAAAAGCCAACAACAGCAGGACAGGCAATCTGTATCGAGGCGAAAATCCACGTATATCATTCGTCGAGCATATGCATGACCTATGAATACTATCTCCAACCGGAGGAGAGCAGTAACCAATTGAGCGATGCGACCGTGCACACTCTGAGACGTCTCCTGAATGTGCAACTGGCGGCTGAGGTATAAAGAAACAGAGCACGTCGAATAAGAACATGTTAATAGCGAGAAGCGCTGTAAACGAATGTCAAAATCAGAGCATAGACCATTTAATAAACACCAACTACTCACCATGCACCGCCGCGAGGAAGTACATAATCAAGCGACGTGAGCATACAGTGACCCACAAAACTGTTGATAAGATTGCTCACTTCGACTTGTATAGTGAATATCTCCTCAACCAATGGGTCAACTACATTGTATAAGAACTCATTGGAAAGCATATCATCATGGCCTTCTAACGCAGTTTTGGTCATATTTTTATCAAATTTGATTTCAAGATATTTACTAATCTTTGAGAGTCACTCTTATCAACAGTTTTGTGGCACGCACACAAGTTATCAGAAAATTGTGATTCTTGATGTGTTGACAGGGTTATTTGTGGGAATATTGATTGATATTCATGTTTCAATATGAACAATGTACAAACAGCCATACACAACTCTTCACACTCAACCAACATCATGCCAAAAGCTGTTGCTACTGAAACTGTCAACCATGTCATCGCTTTGCTTCAGAATGGCAAATCTCTTCGAGAAATTGAAGCTTTGACTGGTCTACACTACTCTACCATCAGTAAACTATGCTCCACACACTGTCCCACCATTTCTAAGGCTAAAGGAGGACAACCTTTCCTTCTTTCTACTGCCAATCGTCGCTATGCTACTCGACTTATTGGGACTGGCAAGGCTACCACATCTCCTGCTGTGGCCAGAGCTCTTGGAGATGTTACTGGGAGGATTGTTAATGCAGAGACAGTGCGAAGAGGGTTGAAGAAGGCAGAAATGAAGGCTGTAGTAAAGCTATCACAAACTTAGGACGCAGAGCGCCGACTAAGCCTATGACCTTATGATCAAATACTTACTGACTGTTGTCGACGTAAGGATGGACACAAAGATGATCAAGGTAAAGCAGTGCCTTGCAAGTGAGCACTGGTAACACTGTATGGAAAGGCGTAGCAGAGATGAGAATAAGTCTGGGGGACTTATGCATCTCAGAGCTCTGGCTTATATACATGAGCGGAGGGACCCTTGATACCCTGATACCCCAGAACCGCTAGCTAATGGACATTGTCTGATTGGTTACCACTACCTGTCAGACTACGTGTGTCATGCATGCTGAACCTCCGAACTACTTAGTAAGACCATGGGAATGGTATTGCCTGTAATGGCTACATCTCCGGTGGCGTGGTATCTATCTACCTCGTGCATGTGAACTAATATCCCCTTAAGGACATATCTCCGGTGTCGTGTATCCCCTTCGTTGGATTCTTCCGGAGTCCGACCGTTGCTTCTAGGTGAGATGATATTACTGTATAAGTTAGGCTTACCTAATACCAGCGCTACTTGTCACATGTGTGGATATCACGTGATATGTCATGTGACTAGACCTGGACCTTCGGGGCGTCTAGGACTGTTAGTACTTCACGTACCGGTTCGTTCCTTTCTGAACAGCCTAGTGCTGATGTCAAATGATGTCTTGGTCACGTGCAGAGGTGAAAATGTGAAAATCTGTGACAGTACCCCCCCTTCTAGACAGTTCCTCCCGAATCTGGCTTTTTGCGTGGTTTCTGGAAGTAATTATCACCTGTTGAACCAAATCCACGGTGATCTCGGGCTGAGGGTTTGAGGTAATCAACCAGTGAAATGACAGGGGTGATAATACGTTCAATGATAAGTTGAGCAACTCGATCACCCAAATTGACTGTGAAGTCATCATTTGTATTATTGATTAGCAAAATCTTGATTTCGCCTGTGTATCCTCTGTCGATAACACCAGCACCTACGTCGATGCCTTTGACAGCTAACCCACTTCATGGTGCAATTCGACCATAGGTCCCTCGAGGTGTCGTAAAGTGAAGTTCTGTGGATACCAATCCTCTTGAGTGTGCTCGGATGGTTGTTGGTTCTGATGCGGCTAAATCCATTCCAGCATCATCTTCATGGGAATATTTTGGTGCATGTGCATTTGGATTGTCTAATGTGATTTGAAGATCTCTAAAATGATCCCAATCATCTCTATCCTGATCGTATATCTGAATGGTATCAGTGGCGGGGTCGTAGACTTGACCTGTTCTCCTGAGTGGAAAAACGCCATCGACCGGAGTTGTATCAATGAGAGATATTGGTTGAGGTGCGTCAGGATATTTTCTGTGAAATTCTTTGATGAGATGCAGAGATTTCTTCAAATTTGCTGCAGGTTCCCAAGTTTCCTCAGCTTTAGAATAACCCTTCCAATGCACCAAATATTGTAGTTTGCCATGAATGACACGAGAGTCGACTATGTATTCGACTTCCCATTCTTCGCCAGTCTTCTTCTTGATAGGAGGACAGGGTCTGAGAGTGCGGTCTGGTATTTCATCTTTGTGGTAGAGCGTGAGCTTGGACGCATGAAAAACTGGATGAACGCCGTATTGTCGTGGCATTTTGAGTCTATATGTGACTGGTCCTAGTTTTTCTACGATTT